TTTAGTCGGTCAGTCCGTCCCCCCCAGTCAAAAATCCGTGGCGGCGCCCCTGGAGAGGCCCAATGAGCAGAGACCTTTCTCATGTCATGCCCATTGGTAAGAATGTCGCCAGCTTGCTCCTGGGAGATGTCCATTCTTACCGCTATCTGATGAGCTCACAGTCTTGGATCCAGCATCCACACCCCTAGAGCAGGGTCAATGTTTTCGGATTTTGTCACATTCTACGGCGTTTTTGATATTTTTTCATTTTGGACGCTGTTCCAGGTTCCTGCCCTGCTTGAAATTAGCAGCTCAAACCTTAACAGTGACATATGATGGGCCACAACCAATAAGTTTAATTTCAGGTCCTTTTTAATTTCAGATGAAGGCATGGCTTTGAAATCGCAATACTTTATAAAAGTTCAATTCTCGATTTTCTCCCTTTTCACCGAACGCGTAATCTTCTTCACTTTAACGGGCTCTAAAAACGAAACGAAAAGGACTAGTACTTCAAAACTTGGTGTACACACCTAAAAATGAGTTTGCCATAAAATGCTGGGATGAAAACCACCCCTTTCTTGGCTCGTTTTTCCGCCATTCCGATGGCGCAAAAAGTGTCCAAAACCCCGTTGACTTAACATGGGGAAAATGGAATCGCACGTGCCACGTGCCACGAGGTTTTAAGCGAGTAGCGACCGGTGCCATAAGGTAGATCGCCTCCGGGAGCCCATACACTGAACTTTTTACGAAGATTGTACATTTCGTCTAGGCTGCGACCAAGATGTCTCGATTCGCTGCCAGACTTGCAAAACATAGAGATGTCCAAAACAAAACAATGGAGATGTCCATTCTTACCGCTATCTGATGAGCTCACAGTCTTGGATCCAGCATCCACACCCCTAGAGCAGGGTCAATGTTTTCGGATTTTGTCACATTCTACGGCGTTTTTGATATTTTTTCATTTTGGACGCTGTTCCAGGTTCCTGCCCTGCTTGAAATTAGCAGCTCAAACCTTAACAGTGACATATGATGGGCCACAACCAATAAGTTTAATTTCAGGTCCTTTTTAATTTCAGATGAAGGCATGGCTTTGAAATCGCAATACTTTATAAAAGTTCAATTCTCGATTTATCTCCCTTTTCACCGAACGCGTAATCTTCTTCACTTTAACGGGCTCTAAAAACGAAACGAAAAGGACTAGTACTTCAAAACTTGGTGTACACACCTAAAAATGAGTTTGCCATAAAATGCTGGGATGAAAACCACCCCTTTCTTGGCTCGTTTTTCCGCCATTCCCGATGGCGCAAAAAGTGTCCAAAACCCCGTTGTAACATGGGGAAAATGGAATCGCACGTGCCACGTGCCACGAGGTTTTAAGCGAGTAGCGACCGGTGCCATAAGGTAGATCGCCTCCGGGAGCCCATACACTGAACTTTTTACGAAGATTGTACATTTCGTCTAGGCTGCGACCAAGATGTCTCGATTATAAAAATTTAAGAAAATTTATAAAATTTATAAAATAGTTGTACAGTTGTACGAAATGTACAATCTTCGTAAAAAGTTCAGTGTATGGGCTCCCGGAGGCGATCTACCTTATGGCACCGGTCGCTACTCGCTTAAAACCTCGTGGCACGTGGCACGTGCGATTCCATTTTCCCCATGTTAAGTCAACGGGGTTTTGGACACTTTTTGCGCCATCGGGAATGGCGGAAAAACGAGCCAAGAAAGGGGTGGTTTTCATCCCAGCATTTTATGGCAAACTCATTTTTAGGTGTGTACACCAAGTTTTGAAGTACTAGTCCTTTTCGTTTCTTAACCCTATTCCTGGGGGGGGGGGCCTCAGGAGCCCCCCCTGAGGTTTTTTGGTTATATCTCCCAAACGCGTTGAGCTAGGAAGCTCAAATTTTCTGACTTTTCCTAAAAGGCTTCTACGCAACATGTCTGAAAATTTTGAGTTGATCTGACCTCAGGTCAGGTCACCAGAGGCGGTTTGGTGACGCTACCTCAGAAAAGTTTGCAATCACGCCAGAGCTAGAGTTTTTGACCGATCAATTTCTTCTCTTCAGGGTTTAGTTAGGGTACCAATATGTGCAATTTGTATATCTCGGAATTTTGATATCGGTGACCTAAGGTCAGGTCAATTTCGCGACCTCCCCATTATAAGTCAATGGGGGAAAAATCAACTCCCTGTTTTTACCACTAAAACGGGTCGGAATGGCCCCATATACCATACATGACTTCATATACGATCAACCTTCACTACCTTGAGGTCTGTTTTGCTGTTGGGCAGCTGTGAGGTCATGTGACGTCATCAAAGGTCACCAAAGGTTTTTGGCCAATAACTCCGTACAGGAACAAGATACAGACGCGTGGATGGTCTCATTGTGTTCAGCTCGTCAAGACGCATCGAATGATATACATGATGACCTCGAGGTCACGTGACCTGAGGTCAACCTTTGACCTTGACCTTTCGAGGTCAACATATATATCATTCGATGCGGATTGACGAGAGGATCACGATGATGCCCTTAGTTTGTTCCTATCTTGACTAATTCGAAAGTTATTCGAGAAAAACTCTCTCCATATCTAGTGCCGCCATTTTGACTTTTTCGACCCCTGTGACGTCATCTTTGACCTGACCTGAAAATGACCTTAGTAAAAATTGTAGATCTTGGCCGTGCGTATCCGATGCCGTTTACCGCTTGTCGCTATCTTGCTTCGTTCTCGAGATCTCAGGGGGGGGCCGAATCGGCCCCCCCCCCCGCCAGTTCTTGTCCCGGCGGAGCCCGCCAGGAATAGGGTTAAATTTTATAAATTTTTATAAATTTTTTATAAAACTATAAAATAGTTTTATAATAAACCTAAAATAGTTGCAAAATGTGTGACCAAATTTTCATGTGCCACCTTTGAAAGATTTCCCATTTTATTTTTCCTAGGATAAGAAGCTTCTGTTTCTACCTAATATCGCAAAAAAAATCAAAAATGGGCCTGGAATAGTGCCTTTTTCGCCTAAAAGTTTATCGGTTTTTCGATATGTATAACAACTGTAGTGGGCTGACCTGTAAACAGGCGTCGGCAACAATCGCGAATGCGGCGCACATGTGACAATAAGCAAAGGTCATTATAGAGTTACGACGTACGGGAATGAGTTATCAGCTGTCTAATCGTAGACAACACAATGTCGAGCCGTAAACTGTAAGCCTGTATTGGTATTGTTTCTTTTATTTGGCTGTCGAACATTATTTATGGTTTGAAATATGATTTTATGTAAAATAATTGATATGAAAAAGCCATCTCTTTAGTTATGACCCCATTTCACCATACGCAAGTGGCAGAAATGACAATGATCAGCTGACACATTTTTCTTGGCCGAAGTCAGAGCGCGCGGCCCGACGCACCACCACCGCACTACAAAGTATGAGCAGAAGCCGCGCCCAAAGCCAGGGCCCCGGTAACGTGAGGTAGCCGAGTCGGGGCGGCGTGCGCTGACCCAAGCCAGGGCCGCAGCTTTGGGCGCGGTCTACCGCATCCCCGCGGGCAGCCCCGGGCTATCACATGACACCGGGAGGACGCGCGGCCCCGGCTTGGGTCAGCGCACGCTGCCCCGACTCGGCTGCTTCACGTTACCGGGGCCCTGGCTTTGGACGCGGTCTACCGCACCACCTAACAGGCGTGTTCGAAACCGCAGGAGATGATGATGAACGGGTTTATCGAAACTTGATTGGATGAGCATATCGGTAATAGCGATTTCAGTGTGTGCATTTATTGTTCATAGTGGTGTGAAATGTGGTTGGGGTACGACCGACAACCCGTCGGGGCGAATTTCGCACTGGGGTACTCAAAATTTGAAGAATTTAAGACGTTTCCATGAGTTTTGAAGGTATGGATAAGTTCTAAAAATCCGGTTCTCCTTATCTGGGCCATTAACTCCATACGGTCCAGGAAAGCTGGCACACTACCTTTAACCTGCGTCACCTGTAACTGTGTTAGGCTTAAAACTTTTCATTCACCCCACGTATAGTACCTACTGATTGTATTGTATAGTATAATGTATTATATTGCATACTGTCTGGAAGAGACACCACGCTGGAGGGCCTCTACTCGCACCAGTTTATATATCGGGTGAAAGCGAAGCTCAGTGATTAACCGCATCGCGACAGCTTTGGGCAATAGTTACCAGATTGATATGATGTTGCCTGAATATTTGGTCATTCGATATTTCACTCTCGCTAGGCTCTCGGAAGGACATCACTACTCCGCCCCTACCCCTTCCACGCCCTAGTGTCCAAGTCCAAATCGTCTATGACAGGACAGGCTCCGGATGTCCGCCCCTACAACATGCCCCCCCCCTCACCCGACACCGCCGGCGGCACCGAGATGCCGACGGCACCGAGGCGCCAAGCATGCCGACAGCACCGACGATGCCAGTGGCGGCGCCCGGCAGTCGGTGGGCCGTCCGGCGGCCCACCGACTGACGGCCCACCGACTGCCAGTCGATGAAACCAGCCCACGGGCGGAGCAGAGGCGGGAGCAGGAAACGGCGATCGAGGCAGTCCAGTCACATTGACAAGTTAAAACCGACCACCATGAGCATCGACGAAATAAAGATCACTTTGGTTATTGATTTGGGGACACCAGCGCGTCGCGTGACGTTGGGTCAACTCCGGTGGGCCCTCCCAAAGTACAAGATGCAGAGTCGCCCTTGCATCAGACTGCCCCGCCCCTATTCAGGGAGGACACTATGAGCGAAGCCACCGCAACGGAACCAATCTGAAAGAACAAAATACAGATGTTTTACTGCACCGCCATCCATGCCAAGTTTTTCACTCCTGATCATTGACCCGACTGATCCAGTCTGCAAAACATGTCAATGTGTTTTTGGCGGCTTGCCTACCTCCACAATCGACAATGCATCTCTGTGCACCGAGCGCTTTCCCACACCGTGGTGACTGGTGGGCGAAGCAGCGCCCATTGCAGCCTCTCGTCCCACCCCTTATTCGAAATCACTTGCTCGAACTCACCTCGAGAGATCAGCTTATGCCGCGCACTTCCAAGCCTTCACAACAGCCGAAACAGCACTGATGCCACCATAGACAAAGGTTGAGGTCGCTAGTCACTACCGAGACCGACCGTTTCGACCCAGGAATGGAATTCTGATTATCACGCGCGCCACCTACAGCCCTCTAGAAGAGACTAGTTCATGAACTCTTCACAAGATGACGCCCGAAGTCCCAATCCTATCATTAGTGATTTATCGAGTCTCAGGGTATAAGAGTCGAGAACATGTTCCATTCCGGTTTGACTTCTATGCACAAGCACAGGAAGTTAACAACTTCCATAGATCATTACAATTCTTTTTTATTTTGCAACGCCAGTTGAAGTGAAAAGGTGTGAAAGTTGAAGCCGCTAAAAGCGATTGTCATTTACCTGATTGTTCTAGGAAGGTAAGAACACTGACTTAAAAAAGGTCATCAGACCAAATGTCGTGTTGTTGTGCTCCTCAACGCTCAAACCACGCTCAAACAACAGTCAATGTCTTAGGCATATTTCCTCATGCCTGATTTGCCAACGCATATACACCAGCATTTTAATTTAGCTGATGTTAATCTAAAAATGTTATTCATTTCCGACGCAAAAGTTTCAATGAAGCTATGTTCATACCACCATATTGAAATATCGCAGGCTGTGTTGTTGATCCCCGTCTCTACTTTTTGCCATCCACTAAAGGCCACTCTGGTGAAAAAAATGGGTGCGGTTATGACATGACATGACGTTTATTTGGGTAATGCCTTTGCAACGGCCCCCACAAACACAACAGTTTTACATGACACGACCAACACGAACACGAACACATACTACAAAGTAGGTATCAAGTACCTATATGACATTTTCAGTGATGTTTTTCTCGGTTTGTTTCATGTTATTTCCATTTAGTTGGCTTTAATTGAAAGTATTGTTTTCGTAATCTTTTTCTTTTCATTCTTTGTCATTTTCATAGTTTTAAATTTTCATAGTTGCACTGATTTGCTGACACTTCACTGCCTCATCCTTTTTCTTCTTGCTTCCCACATCTTGTAAACACTATGTTTATTTCTCCATTTGCTTTTCATCATTACTAAATAAAAGGTTTGCCAATATTTCGGTGCTATCTTCCACATGTGGTCGTTGCAACGGCTCAATTACAGATCTCACATCATTGAGCGCTTCGCATCTTAAGAAAAAATGTTCCAAATCTTCTGATTCTCGTCTGCAGAGATCGCATAGGCTGTTTGATTGGTTGATTGATTGGAATTGTCTGCTTTTTAATTGTAATGTGTTCGATCTTGCCCTGTACAGGCATACAGAGGCTGCTGTGTTATCATACTTTTTCTTCCCTTATCTCAGTTTTACACTTTCGATATAATGAAATGCTTGTCTTTTGTTCTTTCTCGTCTTCCCATTTCTTTTTATCATTTTTTTAGTTTATCCTTCAGTTCTTGTTTCGTCATTCCTTCAAGTCTTGCTATATTCAAGTCTGCTTCTTGTAGATATTTCGTTGTTATCTTTGCCCATCTTGTCACTTTTTCTTCAAGTGCAGTCTGATGATTTCTTTCAGCAAGTTGTTGTTTCCTGTAATGATTTCCGTATTATTGTAAGTGTCCCTCAATTATCCTGGTCTCCATGAGGGATGATCCAACATCACCCCGTAATGTACATGTCGGAGCATATAGAGGAGCCCCTAGAATCTGTCTATAGACTGAATTTTCAATTTTTTGCAGCTTTTGTACATCATTTTTGGGTGTTGTTGTTACCTTTGCTGCATACAAAATGGATGGTAGCGCAACCGACTTCCAAAAAGTTTTTCCTATTAGCAGCTTGTTGCAGCTCTTCTTTATTACGCTAAATGTCATGTTTGCAAGTCTTTGTGCCTTGTAAATGGCGTTTTTTCTTTGTTCTTTGAAAATATCTTTCGTTGCAAATTTTCACACCTAGGTACTTCATTTTTTTTCTATCTTTATGCCTTGAATATTGTTTTCCAGTGGTTCTTCTCGCATGTTGTATATTAGTATTCTTGATTTGTCCTTGTTTAATTTCAGCCCATATTTGCTACTTGTTGTTATCAACTTTTTATCAGTTCTTCCATTTCAGTTTTTGATTGTGTCAGTACTAGCCATCATCTGCGAAGAACAGCAATGGGAGGTATATCTTCCTGTTCCGAAAACCCAGTTTGGTTTCCGTAAGTTCTTGTATGATTATATATGTGACAATTTTGAAAAGAACGGTGGAACCAGTACACCCCTGCCTTATGCCACTTGTGACTGGTATCCGCTGTTCAGTTTGGCTATTTAGTCGTATGTATGTTACATCATCTTTGTATACATTTGCCACACTGTTTATCACATCGGATGTATCTTGTAGTTTTTCATGGCTTCGATTAGTGCCATTCTTTTCACCGAGTCAAATGCCTTTGAGAAATCTATTGATGTTACATACAGTGGCTTTTTCTTTTTAAAGCTGTCTTCTATGCAGTAGTTCAAAAGAAAAATATGTCTTCTATCTTTCCACCTTTAGTAAAACCAGCTTGATTTTCTAGGACCTGTCCATTTCTTTCAAGTGTTCTTCAATGTTTTCCTTAATTATGCTCATGAACAACTTATATGAACAGTTGGTAAGAGCTAGTGGCCTTAGTTCTTTAGCACTTGGTTTCGTGTTTTTGGGATCATCCTAGTGTTTGATATTCTCCAACTGTCTGGCTTTTCTTTCGCATTCAGCTCATTTTTAGGCAGTTTGTTATTGTATCGAGACCTCTTTGTGTTTTCACCAGAGCCTTATATAGTTCTGCTTTTAATCCATCAGATCCAGCTGCCTTTTAGGTTTCATTTTTAAAATCTTAGTCTTAACTTCCTCTCCTGTCACATTGGTTTTTCCATTGGACTTATTTCTTGCTCAATGACTCTTTCCATGTCCAATTGTTCTCTTAAGTGTATTGGATAGCTGGTGTTTTCTTCAGCAAGTTGTTTTTTATATTCCTCTTGCTTTTGTATGTCCATACCATGCTTATTTCATTATCATGTTGCTGATAAATGGATGTCCAATATTGCAATAGCGTTGTTTTTTCTTCTTCGGAGCTAAGTGGTTTGCCATCCAATCCATATAAGTGTACTTCATCTGGTTTCTTTTCAATGTTTCTGAGTTTATTGATATTCTTCCATAATGTTTGCCATTGTTTTCACTCTGTCGAATCTCTTTTGTAATTTTCTTTTCGTTGATTGTGATTGCCTCTTTGACCATGCATTGTATCTTTTTCTTCTGACTCTTGTATTCCTCTTCCAAGAATACTCGCTCTTGTTCCCTTGCGTTTCTCTTTGCTCTGTTAATACTTTTTCTCTTCTTTATTTCTTTTCTTATTTCACTTGTTACCCAAGGACGCTCCATTTTTCCCTTATTGCATTTCTTTTATAGTGACAAAGAAGTATTTCATCCGCCTTTGTCTCATCAGCTTGTCTAGTTCTGTAATTGTTTTTACCGATTCTTTTCTAGCTCCTTTTTCAATTCCTCTCCAAAAACATGCATTGCTCTTCATCTGTTCTGTAATATGTAGTCACTTTGTCACGGCTCTGTTGAAGTTTTCTTGTTCTTGCATTCTCAGTGTTAGAGTTATGAGATTGTGGTCTGTTATATCCATTATTCTTTTCTCATCTTATGCATCTTCTGCACATCCCATAACTGCTCTGTTGGTAATCACGAAGTCTATTGCACTTCGTTGATCCCTCTTTGCCATGTGTACATGCCTCACATTCGTGCTGATAATTTACTAAAATATATTATGTTGGTGAGCAAATTTGCTACCATGTCCCCATTTCTGTCTTGTTTTTGATAGCCTAAGCCTTGTATGTGTCCATTGAAGTCTCCTGCCACAATGAGTGCTTTATTTGTTCTTTCTGCCTCCTCGATTATTGTCCCAATTCTTCCATGATGTTGGTGTTTCGTTCTTTATCCTCAGTCCTGTTGTCGACAGACATGTATACTAATATGAGATGGAAATGTTTCCCTTTTTTCTCACTTCCATATGCATCATGTCTGCATTCCTCGTTTTCTTTTGGGACACATCTAGCTTCTCTTTGAAAAGAGTCAACATCCTCCACCTTTTTTGTGCAGTTCTCTCATTTTCTGGCAGTATTTAATGCCGTCAGAGAACACAAATTTATCATGTTTTTGTTGGGTTTCGTGATGCAAAATATA